AGATTTTGCATAACAGGTGGCGGCCAAAATGAACGGCAATAAGTATGAAAACATCAAGTTGAGTATAGATTCACGTAATTCTCATTTGGGAGCTTTAACATTCTTATGCAATTCTTTCAAGAAATTGCCAAGCAAAAGATAAAAAAGACCAAACACTAAAGAAATCCCAAAGTTTGACATGAATCTATTACGTGTAATATTACAAGTGTTTAATAACTGGTAATTGCAATGTCACGACCACGAAAGCAGGGTATTTCGGGTCTTTTATCCGTTTTTAATTTGGCTTTGGGTTTGTTTCGCAAGAAGTGCAATGTTCTGTTGCGAATTTTGATGAGTCTCGATAGAAAAGAAAAGGCCATTAAATATGCCCGATGCAAATTTCTTTGGCAAAAAACAGTTTTTCATGTAATAATTACTTCCACTTTATTATTCTATCCTCTTTGTTTCGCCAACATTTTGCAAAAAATTGTAATTTTTTCGTTCTTATTTTTATTCATTTTTTCCTTTATTTGCCGTTTCATCAAATAAACAAATTTTGTTGGGAATTTATTTGGAATACCTCGGTAAAATAAAACAGCAACAACAAACAAACCAACAAAACAAAACGAAAGCAGCCAATTCGGTTTATTTCTCCAGCATTACCTCGCGGATTACCCTACAGTTATCTATTTATTTGTGTCTTTCTTACATTTAAAGTGTCGTTAACCAGTTTCATCAAGTTAAGCAGTTGCCACAGCGCATTAAGTACCTTATCAAATATGTAACTTTTACTTTGTTTTTTTAATGTTAGGAGAACGGAACAAGAGTTTGAAAAAAGGGGACGGTAAATTCAGGCATTCCACCGCAAAGAAGTAAGTGGTGAGAAGGGGGATATACACAGGTTCAAATTCTTCCAGAGATATAAAATGTCCGTTTAACAAAGTTGACGGACGTTGTCACTGACAAACTAACTGCTGAATTATTTGAATTACTGATTTATTTGCAAACTAGCTAGCTCCTTAACCTACAGGCTAAACGGTTGAAAGAGTGACTGTCACTAGCGGACTTACCTCACTGAATAACTGACTCACTAACTTCCTTACTCACTGATTAACCAGCTGACGGACTGACTGACTGAATTACTGACAAAAATGACTGAGCAACTGATAAACCAACAAACTGACTACTTGACCGACTGACTGAATAAATGCTGAACAATCGCCAGAACAACTGTGTGCCCAACCTAGCAGCCAACCAAAAGATTGATTGATAGTTTATTTTATTGACTGAATGACCGACTGATTAAATGACAGAACGGGGCTTTGTACATAAATAATTCTTTTGCAAGATTATAGCGATTGAGCGTTCCTTTTCTTTTCCTTGTTTTACTTTTTTTGTTTTGTTTGTTTGTTTGTTTGTTTTTAACAGAAAAAAAGGAAAAATCAAGATCAATGCGTCGAAAGTCACCTTCGGCTACCGAAGCTATCGATGAAGAACACACTTTTGAAGAGGACACAAAACTGTAGGCAGTTAAATTCGAGGAAATTATTATGAATTCTAAACAATCTAACGAGAAGAAATGGCAATTAGAAATCGATAATCTCGTCTTTGTTTTTTATTAAGCGTATGAGATACACGATAGAAAAAAAAACAGTTTTGTTAATTTTGCGTCTATTTAGAGGTAAACGAGGACTTAGTTATATTGAACCAATCTGTGTACGTTACTTAGTTAAACAAAATTTCACTCGATCTTTGGCTGTCTTTAAAAAAATCCCTAACAAAACGATTTTTTTTCTAACGATAAGTTATAAGTTTTCAGATTTAGACAATTTAATTGATGTTTTAATGGTTTATGAGTTAGTGTTTCATATCCATGACTGATATGGTCTCCGTGGCCAATTCACATATCAGTGACATCATCCTATGGATCGTGTCTACAGTCACAAGAAGTTTCAACTTTCCCTCACCTAAACAAAAACACCCATGCGGTTGATTGGGATCCTTTAAGACACCTGCTATGAGGAGTCTTTTGAGGGCAAATTAAGACAGCTGGAGATGGGAAGCGCATTAAAGGTAGAATTAAGTAACTGAATTGTGTTAATTGGCTTACAACGAGAGGATGTAATACCAAGAATTGTTATGGGAAGTCATTATCAAATATTAACTTCTAGAATGCCCTTTCACGGTGACTTGGAGGTTATGTAATATGATGCCATTCTACCAGAATTTTAGTGTTTTAGGCCGGCGGAATGTTCTAAAATACGTTTCAAGAATTCAGTAATCTAGTAGTAATTATGCCTTTCAAGCTAAACTGAGAAAGAGAGCCACTAGGATGTACATCAAAGATTGTGCATTTAAAAGATATTGGGTAAAAACAATGAGTTTGTGTCAGTGGAGAACTAAGGAACAGTCTGTAGTGGTTTGTAGAAGATAATCACAGTATCGCCTAAAGGAGTTGCTTCTTAGTAAGCATTTTTACGTATTGTTTAACAACGTAGTTCGTTTTGTAGTAGTGTAGGATTCTTTCTGTCTGTTAGAAAATACCGTGACAAAAGATTCCAAAGTGGATTTCAAGAGTTTTGATTCGATGCTTGCTCATTTTTCCTGCTTGATTATGTGCTTCATTATTAGAACAATACCAGGTTTTTCTTCATATTTTCTGCAGAGTTCAGGAAATGCATGCTTTCTTACTCATTGGATTATATAACATGTTGACCCTCATTAAAAACAAAAATAATAACCTATGTGCTTATATGAGATAAGAAAACTTTAATTAGTGAAGTTTTAGCAAATTGATTCATTTGCATATCAAAGAAGGTGCAAGTTATAACAGCACCATTCAGCTCATAGAGGTTGATTAAAAATTTTCGTTCTTAGTAATTAGATAATAATATAAATGCTGTATTCAATTGGATTATTACTGTCATTATTATGATAAAATAAAAATAACGAGAGGGATCAATAACACCTTGGCTATTGGAAGTTGTGTTTATTTTGTATACTTGGATATTTGCAGATGAGGCGAGTTATTTCTATTTCAGAAGGATAGCGCTTGGAGCTAATACAGTATAGTTTTAACTCGGTTTTGAGCTTTGGCTATCGTCTGACAAGAGTTGAATAAGAACGCTAATTCACGTTATTATAACGTGATCCTCAAAGACAAAAGTAAATGGGTAGTCCGAGTTTTGAAGGTTTTCATGTACGAAAACAAGAATCAAACACATTTAACACTCGTATAGTATGTATAGTTTCGTGTTCAAATAAAAAAATAACAGAACAAAACAAAACAGGAAAGATGAAAAACATAGCCAAATTAGCATATATATAAAAATTCATACTAATTACGTTGGTGTCAGAGCGACTGCGATCACGCTTAGGTCCCTCATTGCGATCTCCGCTCATCGCAAGGGGAAAGGCTCAGAAGTTACATCGGCCGCCCTTTGAGTGAAAAACGAAGAGCTTGCTCTCATACCTTTTCCAATTTCTAAAGGAAATTTTGTATTCTATTACCAAAAATGTATCATTGTGCGAGACTAGATCTTTTCGAAAATGGCCGTACGAAGAATATCAATTAATCTTTCTTAAGTATTTCAACTAGCTACGAAGCTTACCAAGAATCTCGATTTTAAAAATGCAATCGAGTTTAACCAATTTTTTTTTCTTTTGCTTTTTTACTTTTGCTGGTAGCGTTCTCAAAACAAAGGAACTGTGATTCAGATGTAGTTAGAAAACACTGCAAGAAAAAAATTAAAAGTCTATTGTAATTGATAAAAGCATGGTGAAGCTTTGCGATGTAAAATTTTACTTACAAAAATATGACGGATTTCATATTAAATAATGAAACTGTAACACAATTCTTGAACGTGATTGGTTATCACCAGTCCGATTTGAGCTAATAGGACAGAGTAGGCGTCATGCTTGTAAATGTACAATACAATAGGACAGTTAAAGGGACAGTTGACACGTCATGTCCGTGTAAGTTAAAAGAACACGTCGTGTGCGCGCGCTGTTGTCTCTCATTTCGCCAAGTTAACTGTTGTTTCTTTTAAAAAACGATAACCGATGTTTAGTTCCTTTCTAAAATTTTGTAATTGTTTTGATTAATGGGTAACGGGACTGCGTGTCGTCCAATTATGCCTGTAATCATACTCGTTGGTAACACATCGCTTCGCGGTCGTCTGATTTTGTTAATCACTCGTATGATTACAGACCGAATTGGACTCCACTCGGTCCTATTACAAGTATTAATCAGGACCGTCAGAATTTCCTTAAATGTGATTGCTGGATGAATTGCTCTTTTTTAACTAATTTTTTGCAATGAATCCGATTTCATTTTCCGGCAAGTGACCGAATTGGACAAGAAATAAAATTAAAAATTCAACCTTTACAGAGTAACACTGAAGGCAGACATTCTAATCTCCATAGATTTCTAAGTGAAAGCTGTGGCTGTGGATGCGAAAAGGATACTGAAAGGAAAAAAAGTAAATTGCAAAATTAAAAATACATTATGTATCCTCTTCCATAACAGAGAATCTCTCCCTGTTTATAAATTGTCCTACTAAAGATCCTGAAAATCGTCATGACGGGCGTTGCCTTTAATTAACTTTGACTTCTATAAAACTCAGGAAAATGAAGAGATCCAATCAATCGGATTGTGGTTTTGGTATAAGTACCTTAATGTCTCACAATGGCAAGCAGTAAACGGCTCTCTCTTCAGAATTTAAAGATGTCGAAATGTTTAAAATAAGAGAAGAAATTCATAGTAATGCTTACGGTTGTACGCGATTAAAGTAGGTGTGATTTAACAAAAAGTGTTGGTTACACATTCATCAACCCTTATCGTATCGATGGCGAAATTTGTTATTCATTAGTCTTGAAGTTCGCACGAAACAACGTATACATGCATCAACATTATTGAGTGATGAGATGCCTGAGCTTGACATCTGTAATCCAACATATTCATAACAGGTTACACAGCAAACATGCGTGTCTGCATCTACAAAGGCCGTCCGTTTGTTTTGCTATAATTGAGCCAGCTTATTCTGAATAATTTTAACTTTAACGTGTCCGGGGCCAAGGTTTCGAACACAAATCGCCAAAGCATGATTATAGTTCTTTTTCGCCTCCTCATCGTGACGCTGATCATTGTGTGCGTCACCAATATTTTCATAAGTTTCTTCAACTTTAAGATGATTACGTCCGAGCTGTTTCAGGCAAATGTCCAGTGCAACTACATGGTAGTGCATTGCTTGCTGGAAATCACTTACATTTCTGTATAGAGTACCCAGGTTATTGAAAGAACCTGCGACATCTACATGCTCAGGTCCGAGCTGTTTCAGACGAATGTCTAGTGCACGTGTATGGAAGTCCTTTGCTCGCTGGAAATCAACTAGATCATTGTACACAGTACCCAGGTTATTGTAGGAAGATGCGACATTTCCATGCTCGGGTCCAAGCTGTTTCAGACGAATGTCCAGTGCACGTGCATAATTGTCCTTTGCTTCCTGGAAACAGTCTAGATCACTGTATACAGTACCCAGGTTATTGTAAGAAGCTGCCACATCTACATGCTCAGGTCCGAGTTGTTTCTCACGAATGTCCAGTGCACGTACATGGTTGTGCTTTGCTTTCTGGAGATCACTTAGATTTCTGTATACAGTACCCAGGTTATTGTAAGAAGCTGCGACATCTACATGCTCAGGTCCGAGCTGTTTCACACGAATGTCCAGTGCACGTGCGTGGTAATCCTTTGCTTGCTGAAAATCACCTAGATCACTGAATACAGTACCCAGGTTATTGTAAGAGGCTGCCACATCTACATGCTCAAGTCCGAGCTGTTTCAGATAAATTTCTAGTGCACGTGCATGGTTATCCTTTGCTCTCTGGAAATCACCTAGATCACTGTATACAGTACCCAGGTTATTGTAAGAAGCTGCGACATCTACATGCTCAGGTCCGAGCTGTTCCAGACGAATGTCCAGTGTACGTACATAGTTGTCCTTTGCTTGCTGGAAATCGCCTAGATCACTGTATACAGTGCCCAGATTATTGTAGGAATCTGCGACAACTATATGCTCAGGTCCGAGCTGTTTCAGACGAATGTCCAGTGCAAGCGCAAGGTAGACCTTTGCTTGGTGGAAATCACCTAGATCACCGTACACATTACCCAGGCTATTGTAAGAATTTGCTACATCTACATGCTTAGGTCCGAAATGCTTCAGACGGATGCCCAGTGCACGTGTATGGTGGTCCTTTGCTTGCTGGAAATCACCTAGATCACTGTATACAGTACCTAAGTTATTGTAAGAATCTGCAACAGCTACATGATTGGGTCCGAGTTGTTTTAGATAAATGTCTAATGCACGTGTATGGTTGCTCTGTGCTTGGTGAAAATCACATAAATCTCTACAGACATTGCCCAGGTTATTGTAAGAATTTGCTACCTCTACATGCATAGGTCCGAGATGTTTCAGACGAATGTCCAGTGCACGTACAAGGTAGTCCTTGGCTTGCTGGAAATCACCTAGATCATTGTACACAGTACCTAGGTTATTGTAAGAAGCTGCCACTTCCACATGCTCAGGTCCGAGCTGTTTCAGATGAATGTCCAGTGCACGAGTATGGTGCTTGTGCGCTTGCTCGAAGTTACCCTCACATTTTTTTGCTTGTGCATGGTTGTCTCTTGCTTGCAGGAAATCACCTGGTTCACTGTATATAGTACCCAGGCTTTTGCAAGAAGTTGCGACATCTACATGCTTAGGTCCGAGCTCTTTCAGATTAATCTCCAATGCACGTTCATGGTAGTCCTTTGCTCGCTGGAAATCACCTAGATTTCTGTATACAGTACCCAGATTATTGTATGAAGTTGCGACATCTACGTGCTTAGGTCCGAGCTGTTTCAGACGAATGTCCAGTGCACGTGCAAGGCAATCCTCTGCTTGGCGGAAATCACCTAAACCACTGAATACATTACCCAGGTTATTGTAAGAAGTTGCGACATCTATATGCCAAGGTCCGATATGTCTCAGACGAATGTCCAGTGCACGTGCATGGTAGTCCTTTGCTTTCTGGAAATCACCTAGGTCACTATATACAGTACCCAAGTTATTGTACGAGGCTGCGACATCTACATGCTCAGGTCCGAGCTGTTTCAGATAAATGTCCAGTGCACGTGCATGGTTGTCCTTTGCTTGCTGGAAACTACTTAGATGACTGTATACAGTACCCAGGTTATCGTAAGAAGCTGCGACAAGAGTTTGCTCAGGTCCAAGCTGTTTAAGACGAATGTCCAGTGCACGTGCATGGTAGTCCTCTGCTTTCTGGAAATCACCTAGATCACTGTATACAATACCCAGGTTATTGTAAGAGGCTGCCACATCTACATGTTCTGGTCCGAGCTGTTTCAGGTAAATGTCTAATGCACGTGCATGGTTTTCTTTTGCTTTCTGGAAATCACCTAGATCACTGTATGCAGTACCTAGGTTATTGTAAGAAGCTGCGACATATACATGCTCAGGTCCAAGCTGTTTCAGATGAATTTCCAGTGCACGCGTATGATAGTTCTTCGCTTGCTCGAAGTTACCCTTACATTTGTGTGCGGTTCCCACAAGGAGATAGAGTTTTGCTTTTCCCAGAGCGTCGTTTGCATCACCTGAGTGTATAATTTTCGAGGCCACTTCGAAGTAGGTCATTGCAGCTTCGTATTCACAATGGTTAAGGCACATATTTCCTAGGATCGGAAGGTCATTAAGGTAATTTCGAAAGGGAATAACACCCATTTTCCTGACGTGAGATAATTCTTGTATAGAAGACAGACATTTAGCCTTCAGGATTAATTTTCCTAGGTGGGGAACAATTTTTGAACCGATGATAAAGGTATCTAGTTCATCGAACTTGGCGAATGATGCAACAGCCCCAACGACGGCTTCGATGTATAAATCCTTTGCATAATTTGTTTTTAAAGAATCAAGTACATAACGAACGATTCCATGCACTCGGATATAGACGCTGTCTCCTTCTTCTTCAGATAACAACAATGAACACCGATTTATCCTTGATCTGATCCACTCTTTATCACTAAATTCTTTATCCATTTCCATAATGTAATTGACGGCGACTTCTTGAAGTATTGGCTGAGGTGAACAAAGAGCAAGAAAAGTGAACAGGTGATTAATAACTCTGTCGGTCGCCATCGCGTTTTCCACTGCAAGTGTTATTGCTGTTGTCATGGACTTCTGGTAGCTTGGATTTGTCTCAGTAAGAATAGCCTCCGTCGTACCTCGTTGACCGTCTACGAGCTTCTTTAGGTAGTCGCTCCAGCCAAAGTTCATAGATACTTTACTCTGCCGAACTTCTCGCACATAAATGGAGGCACTCGCTAAGGCAAGAGGTTGATAGTCTAATGCCTGTGCAATTTCATCTTCCATTTCACCATCATTCACTCCTGATAGGAGTGTTAACAACGAGCGGGCATCATCTGGATGCATTCCTTCGCTTACTGAGACATGCTGGATTGCAAAATTTGTCAAAGGAATAGAAACAGCGTCTTGTGTTGTTATCAGCAACTGACCTCTTACCCACTGTTCGTCTCCTGCATCTGGTAAGTGTCCATGTATTTGAGACACATTAATGACGTTATCGACTACCAGCAGCCATGACGTATAGTAAGAAATTCTCGCGCCTATCAGCGTCTTAAGCCTTGTAATCTTTTGGTCTGCACATAGGTCTGTGGATTTCAGAGTGTTTGTAACTGCATACTCCGGACATTTACAGTGTCGAGCGAAAACGACATAGGATTCCAAAAGCGTTTCTGAATTTTCAGCATTCAGAGTCATAACAAATGAAGTCGCAGAAGGAATTTCTTTGACTTCGTCGTAAAATCGCTCAGCTACCAGACGGGCCAGCTGAGATTTTCCACTTCCCGGATTTCCAGAGATGTACAAGGTGCTTAGAGCATCATCATTAGCACATTTGAGGGCTCTGAGCTGTTGGGTAATGTTACTAACCTCAGAATCGCGGCCTGTGACGTCGCGTGTAGGTTTTGGGGGAAGAACACAAAATGGAGACACACTTGTAAGAAGCTGCTGCTCAAGGACCTGTCGCTGCTCCTCTTTTTCTAGCAGCTCCTTACCCCTCTCAAGAAGTTCATCATATTTTTCTTGCAGTTTCTTTTCTTTCTCTTGAACGTCTTGATTAAGATTGTCCACTTCCTGCAATATATTTGTTAATTCTTCCGTTGGGAAACTTTTTTGATTTTGGATAACTTGGATTTTCTGTATGGAAGTTGAACTAGGTCGACAACTGTTTCAAAGGGCTGATAGATAACACGCTTGGACAATACATGTTAGAATCTTTACCAAAATCTAGTGGTCTGAAAAGCAGTTTCGAAACAAGTCCTAAATGAGTGTTTGAGGGTTGCCTTACGAGAAAATTCTATTAATGTCATGCCCTAACTTCTGCGCATAAACTGTTCGTTTTTTATGAACCATAACACAGCAACAAAATTAGTGCGCAAGCTTCGTGTTACCGGTCGATAAATTGGAGTTATTGACCAAGCTTGTTCTGTCAAGATGGCTGGATACTAGCTGAGTTCTTAATAACCGGAGACTAAAATCCAGCCATCTTGACAGAACAAGCTTTGTCAATAAATGATTTTTTGCATAATAATAGTTTCGCTTCATTAAGAATAAAAAATTACTTGATTATTTCGAGAGACGAGAAAGAAAGTCCATTGCATTCTTTTGCAGTACAGTAAACCCACGATCCGCTCATGATTCTTTATTTTTACTGTCTTCTACCATGTTTGGGACTCCATCGCCGACACTGCCTACAAATTACGAACTCTTTTGTAAGTTCACCCCAAGGAATTTCTCTCCGAATGTTAAAAAAAGCGAAGGAACAAGTAACATATTTTTCAACACAAGAAGAGAAATTTCGTATCTCCAAGCGGCCATGAATTTTATATATTTATTATATAAATATCAATAAAATTTTAAGTCATTTCACTATTCATGTTTCTTTTTTTTAAGCGAAGGCACGATTTTTTTATGTAACAGCAGCAATAGTAACTTTCCGCGTGTGAAGATAATTTGTTATCCTCCCGTGTGAAGATATCATTTTTTCGCGCGAAAGCTTATCTGGTATTTCATTGGTCTTTATATAATAAAATAGAATAATTTCATCCCGGTCAGCGTTTTCATATTTCTCTAAACTATCAACACTAAGATGTTTTATCATTTAAGAACACATTCATTTGTTACGTTTCGTCTACCCTCAATACTTAAAGATCCTAAAACGCAGATTATAGTGACAGTGTGTGATGCATTTTTCGTCAAAGTTATCTGAAGACCCTGGCCTCTGTCTTTTTCAGAATGATATGTTTTGAAAACACTTCTCTTGTAGGAACGTTTCGAAAGGCGTAATTTTGGCGGGCGAGCGCCTAGTAATTATGGCTGCCACCTTTGATTTTTGCGGAAGGCCGGGAATCGAAAGGAAATTGTACCAAGAGGGTGGGCGACGGTCAAAAAGAACAAGAGGAGAGAGTTTAACGTACCTTACCTTTCCCAGCCCCCTTTCCGCACCGTACGCTAAATCAAACATGGCCGGTCGAATAGATAATCGCGAGCTCCTTAATTTCAATTCGCCCACATAAGACAACTCAGGCTATTTTGAAAAAATCAAACATGGCCGGTCGAATAGATAATCGGAAGCTCCTTAACTTTAACTCGTCCACAAACGACGCCTCAGGCTATTTTGAACGTTGACTGTGAACTTTAAAAGCTTTTACAGGATTCGATGAGTCCTATGGATCTTTCTCCAGTGTTTTCAAGCAGCATAATTGTACATTTGTTCTATATATTTAAACTGATACCTTCTGACTTAGATGAACGGATTTGAGCCAAAAATAGCCCAAATCAGCAGATCATTAAAACTCTTTCAATCATTAGACAGTACTTGCTGACTGCACTGAGTGCTTCGCTGACAACAAACAAAGGGATCAGGTCATATCATTTACCAATCTTAGACATCACAAAAATTAACATTTTACAAAAAAGCCTCGCCGCTTTGTAAGAAGACCTAGTTTCACTTTGATGTTGATGTCTTTGATTGCGGAATGTGGCTTTGTTGCTGCTTTTTAAATGAAACTATCGACGCCTACTATCATAATTCAAGAAGTTCCCAAGACAGTAAGTTTAAAATTTGATATTCTAGATTTCAATCACAAATAATTATCACTCAGAAGCGGAAACTAAAGCATTCACAGCGAAACTATTTCGTAATGGCATCGCTATGGTGATTACTGCAATTAATTTTAGAGTCATCTCCGGATTTTCAAAGCTGGTAAAGTTCATTTCCGCATAATACTAATCAAACAAACGATTTATCTCTAAAGGTAGCAAACTAAAACGTAAAATCGTTATTCAATGGTTGAGCTCATGTTTTGAATGATTTAATTTGCATACTTGCTGTTTCAGCATTCATTTACTGAAGGAAGCAAGAGGTGATTAATAGCTGATTGAATCAAGGAACAGAGTCTTCGGTCGAAACAGAGATAACCAAGGACACAAGAGGCACATTCAATCAGGTATATGACTGGGTTATGATTCATGATTTCATGATTGCTTTGTTTAATAAGCTAAATGCAAAGAGTATCAGTGTAAAGGGGTCGTAAAATATGATGTGCGTGCATGACTCCCTATAGCGTCATTAAGCAAGTGCAATAAATAAGACAAACTTCTTCCGTTATTATCCATCCTGAAGGCAGTTATGAATTGCCGTTATCCTTTTAAAAAATTATATCCTAATCTATTGCCTTCAGTTTAAAGTTTTTTTACCTTTCTCATGTTTGCCACATCATTATTATTTATACCATCGGCGAAATTGATAATTTTTTTGTTGTTTACATCAAAACTATTTTTAACAACAACGGAATCTTTAAGAGTACAATAGCCATTTAATTTAGAAAAAGTACTTCATAAACATCGCTACCAACATCATTTACTTCACCATCAACACCTATTTCACAAAGTAACATTGCAATTCATTTGGTGCATTAACCTGATGGTTATAATTTTCAAATTTTACGGCTAAATTTATTGGTATTACAAATGTTGTGTTTTCATTATATAACAAACACTTTTTATTCTGACCGTAAACGGGCCAGAATTAGAAATCCTCCGCAGGAAAATGCATACAAGGCGCTACGCGGCAGTTTGTAACTGGCGTAAAGCAATGTGGTGGACATACCCTGGGAACGAGGTCGAGTTTTGGCATCGAGTGTACTCAGGCTTGAAGTGTTAGGCCGCGCATAAACTATAATCAAGCTTGTTACAATTTACACTGAACTTTTAAGGAAACTTTAAAATATTTATTTAAAGCCCAAACCTTATACCGTGAATCGCTTCAATTGTTAACGTAGTAATGAAAAACAACAACTGTGGGAATAGTAAAAGTTTATTGGTTGATTGATTCGATTCGATTAATTAATTCAATTATCTTATGTAAACATTGGCAATGGGATTGATCAGTAAATTATTTTAGCGGACGAAAATACCATACTTTCTCACAAAAAAATAAAACTTGTGAAAGTCACTTTAATTTCAATTAGTCGGAAAACTTCAGGTCCATAAAATGCGTTCTGTGGTATATCGTTGCGAGCCAAAAAACTTGAGAGGTTTGTTATCACAAGGAAGCGGGAAAAAACCTTGTAAAAAAAGTGCATCGCGTTCAAATGCAAATATTTATCGGGCGACTGAGACTGAGAGGCGAAACTTGACATTGGAATGGAAATAGGGGAGCGTTAAAATGTGATGAATTTTGCAACCGGAAAATTGACAAACGCAGGATTCTATTCAGTACTGATTTTGTAGAACGCCTGGGGTATGCGTTTATTATTCTGCGGAGTTGGATGGTTACCATCATTGTGGATTTCTCCGTGAATCAAGCAAAGACACAAAGTGACTTATTCCTTTTCTGTTGACTTTGCTGCGGTACGTACGTTTGTTCCCGCATTTCATCCAGCGATTTCAGTATTTCCAATTTGTCATGGTATCAACTTGTTCCAAAGTCCTAATCTCCATAACTCTCCATTTTCGCTCAAAACCGCAAGGCCTTCAATTCGTTTCCTCTTAACCGCAACTCCGGCTAAAATATAGGCTCCATGTAGCCTCTTGTTATGATTGATATTAGTCAGTTTGATATCATGAACTGATAATGAATTCATTCGACCATTTCTCATTGAAAATAAAACAACAAGTTGTTCTTTTAAATAATTCTATTACCACTCATTAATTCAATAATTAACCGACTTTTTTTTGTATTTTTGTTTTGAAATAGTGAACATAAGTTAATTTGAAGTGCACTATTGTATTCATCATCACTTGTTTTACTAACAACAATTCAGCAGCTTTTTTTTTTCAAATTATGAATTGAATTATAATAATCACCAACTGTTCCAGTTTTAATGTCTAAACTACATATAGTTGATTCAGTACATATTCAATAACATTGTAAATATGTAATTGTTTTAATGTTCTATTACAACAGGTAACAATAACAAGTTAACATTTATTATTGTTTTATTACCTGCTTCCCATCTATCATCGTTTCTTAATTTCATAAAATTATATCAGCAGATTTTTGTCACTGCATCATTAACAGCTGTTGCTATTTGTAAATGTATTAACTTATTATTATTTATGTTTTGTTAGAAGTTATTGTTTTTGCCTTTATCTTCAATCAGCATATTATATATTACCTGTATGTTTTGCATTTGTTTGATCTTTTAAACGAATTATTTCATTATCAAATAAATCTTATGTAATATCTTGCATGATATGATTATCCATTCATTGCATCTGCTCCTGATGTTGCATTTGCAAGTCTTAAATCTTTTTTGTTTGACATGTCTGAATCCCTATCTACAACGTTTTGAAAATATCGTACATCAGATGATTGTCTATTAACTACATATGTTGGCGATGTTGCATCAGCAACATTTTTAATCTTACTATTCATTATATTTGAATCTCTATCAGCAGTTTTTAAAGATAAATTATATTTGCTGTATTTAAATAAATTACATCATTTCAATCTGTTGCATCGGCCATATCGACATTTCTTTTACCTCCCGTATTAATTTCATCACCCTCTTTAATAAAACATTGTGTTCTATTTTCAAACATTCTAAGGCTAACAGAACCAAGATCATTTACTGGATCATCTAAGATTGCTATTCTTTTTCTGTCCATGTCAATTTCAGCGGGTAGTATTAATTTATTACTATTTAAATTTCAATCACCTGTCATCGTATTGCTTCCATTCAACCTCAAAAAATTTGTTTCAGTTTGCTTTAATTGATGCCTTGGTACTAAATCATCATGATTTACTCTATATGTTGCATTAGTAAATCTCTCTCTCTCTCTGCATATCGTAGTTGCCGTCAGGTCTGAGTCTGAGACCAATTGCTTGTTCACCCTTTTTGCCCCTTCCACTTGCCTCTCATCATAATTTTCATCAACATAACAATTCAATAATCCGTTTGAGTTTCTCATATATTATTGCATCAAACAAAATTTTTCGTTGAAATTTGTTGTTGCAAATTGTTTTGGTCTATCAATATATAAAAATAAATACTGATCATGAGTTGCCTTGTTAATTACATCCCATGCAATGTTGTTTTCCTGGCATATCACATTATTCTCTCTGGATGAAGGAAAGTCCTAAACACAAAATTGTGAATAGTTCACTTATATCTTTTGGTGTTTTATAATATAATACAGAGCAATTTTTATGCCTCCCTCTTATAAAGTAATCAATATTTGGTCCTTGACTTTATTCTCGAATATAATCATCAAAAATTACTATTTTTGATTATTATAACTCATTTTTTTAAGGGTATTATCTCATAGTTACTTGCTTCAACAATATGATAATCACTTATTTGCTTACATCATCGAGTTTTTCAATCAAATCTTTATATTTCTTTTGTGCACGATCTCTGGAGTAAAGATAAATTTTATCAAAACAAAGTAATATATAAATCATATGAGTTATTTTACCACCACCTGATGGTGCACATAGCTATACTTGTTAATTAGCTTGGTGAGGAAACTGACGTGCTTAATCTTTAGAGAACATTCAAATCAATTACTTTACAGTTAGATGATGTTAGAGTTATTAATTTATTGACACTCAAGCAAAAAAATAAAATTAAACCAAAAACAAATTGTACCTGATTATGGTATTCAAATTGACGACGAAGTTGATACCATGAGTCTTGATGAATTGTTTGATAAAGGCGTAGTACCCCAAAGTGAAAAACAATTTGTACCCTAATCCACCATTGTATAATGAACCTGAATATTGTTTGAATCCAGACTTTAAAATAATTCTACCTTTTGAAGATTATAGTTACCCTGATTATACAATAAATCAAGATGGTGAACTTGATGAGGATTGTGGAAGAAGAATTGGATAATGAAGAAGTTAATATCTATAATGATACTGTTATTTTAGATGATTCTAATTTGAAAATTGTGATGATATTAATTTACAGTTGCAAACTTTTGGTGAAAGGATAAAGGGAAAAATAAATACTTGAAAGTAGTCGATGAAGCTACAGAACAAATAAACAAAAATAAAGGTTATAAAGAGCAGTAAACAAAAATGTTTAAAAATGGAGAAATAAGTCGACAAGGTTGTATCATGCAAAATAAAATTTCAACAAAATATTTCATCAAAAAAATTAGATAAGACAAAACAATAACCGGCTCTGGCCATGTTGTTTCACTTTACAAGTCATTGAAGAACTTGTTGAAAAACATGATTTAGTTATTGGAAGAATGCGTGCAAGCAATACATCACCTGCATTACGCAACCTTCCAGTGATATTAATTGACGAATTGTTAAAAAAATATAGTTTTAAGAATAAATGATCATTCAGTTTTGTACAATACATTTTTTAACATTTAATTGTTATCTAGTTTTATGGTATAAAAAGAGAACTACTTTTGTCTCCTTATTCACTGAAAAAAACCTTAAGAACAACAAACCAGAAGATTTTACAATGGAATTAAGTCGTACGTGAATATTGTACTAGTTTTATAGTATAAAAAGAGAACTAGTTTTGTCTCCCTATTCAGTGAAAAGCGTTAAGAACAACAAATCACAAGATTTTACGATGGAATTCAGTCGTACATGAATTTTATCTGGTTTAACATTGATTATGCACTTAATGGCGAGCTTATAAGATATAGTAGCAATTATGGCACAAATTTTTTGTGTTGAAATAACAATGAAGGCAGGTTATCTGCTTGATTTAACTATAAGTGATTCTAACAAATTGATTGGTTATGGAAAAAAAGTTATCCACGTTGAAAAAAATCACCGACCATTTATTCCTAATTTGAGTCAAGATATATATGTTATTTTCCGGCTGGGAGGTCCATATGGTAAAAAAGGAGGTCCGTGTTTAAATATGGTCTTTCCTCCACAAAAAACTAAATTCGAATGATACATTCTGACGAGACACAAGGGGATTTAATAAGGGGATTTCATGCGGCCTTTTTTCGCTGAATTCCTTACGTTTCTGTTGTGCAATTTACGGTACAAATGTCCAAATTGAACGGACTTGGAAAGAATCACCAAGAGCGTATATTTGTTGTAGAACTGAAATTAAAACTTCGCTGGCTCTTTCACTACGAACATATTGTTTTAGAAAATTCAGATATTAGTTCAAATGTTATCAAATACCTCACGTTTTAACTTTCTAGGACCTTTTTGTGAACGATTAAAACTAATTGCAGACAGTTTTTAGGTCGCCTGTCAACCAATGTAATGACACTATTGCTCATACAAATTCATTCTGAAACCTATAATCTTCTGTCAACCAAAGTGATTTGAGAGAGAGAAAAGAGAGGATTAATAAGTTATTTATCGGCTTAAAAATACTGCCCAGCCTGATAAACGAGATCAGTTTATGAAAAATGGCAAAGAAAGTCGGGATGTACTAGGCGACTTATGACAGCGTTACCGTTGCCCGTGGGAAGAGATAGGAAAATAGGGACCTCGTAAAGAACCAATCAGACTGCACGATTCGTTACCGTGCCTTCTTAAAAAAGTAAAGGGAAAGATTAAATATTCTTTGTGATCTTACAAGTAATTCTTTGGTCGACAGGAATAAAGGTGACATAACTCACAGCTTTTCAACAGCCGTTCTTCAATCCTCAATCAGTTTTACAATGGAGTCACGACGAGTCATTTATTCACTAATAGACAAAACAAGCATTTATTCCATAAGAATATAAATCTCAGATTGAAAAAGACCTTTGGCTGATTTGCATGGTTCTAACACTTCATTTTCGAATTTAGTCAAATTTTTTTATCTAGTGCTGATGTATGAAGCCTTATGAGTTCAAGAGAATTTATCTTCCAGCTTATGGACAAGTTGTTTACAGACACAATGATTTGTGTGCAATTTTTGCTAACATATTTAAACCAATGGTGTAAACAATTATGCAAATATTATTTTCCAAAGTTGTCAAACCAGTCGGCAGACAATCACTCAAATCTGGAACAGAGCATGTTGGTAACAAAATTGGGGAAAAGTAAGGTGATTACATCATGAAAAATAGTGCAAAAATAAGAAGCAAACTGGTTCAAATGCACACATGATATTGAATAGACTCAGAAATTACGTTTGATATTTTTTCTGATGTATAAATATGATATGTCAAATTTCCGTTGAAGTGAAATGTTACAAAGAAAAGAGTTGGTTCGTTATCAGTTAGATGATGTAATACGCACACCAGCTAATAATCAACACCAAGAAAACGCGGTTACAGGTTTACGATAAATGATAGATCATCATTCTTTGTTTGGTGCAACGCTTATATTGAATATAAATTTCGCCTGCAAAAAATAGCTGATAGAACTGGTTATGGTGGTGTTGACAAAATCACAGTCATCGATGGCTCACACTGTTTGTTCAAGCATATAATGTTGAAATCAGCTGGCAAGATTATTTAAGATACAAATAGTTTACACAGGTTTAGATGTGTCAAAAATCTTTTGAATAAAATGATGATTTGCCTAAAACTTGTTGCCTAAAATAGTTTTTGTTTCCTTTATTCGGACGGAACAACTGCAAATAGAAATACTGGCTTTCTTTCAAGAAAAGTATTGACTGATGGTGCAGCCAATGTTGATGTTATAATTCCTTAGAATCGCTACTGACAGTTTCTTTGAAGAACTTGAAGACAAATTGCTCACACCAATGAAACTTAAGTTTAGCATTGAATTACAAAATGACAATGAGGTGGTTTAGAAAGCTGATGCTGCTGCTGATGGAAGAGTAGTTGTAAATAGTTTTCTCTTTTAGGTACCCCAATTAACTCCAAAGACAGTCCTAACGATTCATTAGTAAGTTCATTTCTCAAAAAAAAAAAAAAAGTGGGACTATTTAAGAGAAAAGTATGAAGTTTCTGCACCAACACGTTTCTCGGGTTTCTTTCAGATAAGTGCCAGCATTACCAATATTAGTCACATTTTTGTTTATTTACAAAGAGCAAAAACTAATGATTCTGCCCAAACCCTTATTTAACTGATACAATCAAATTAAATCCTGCTGTCGATAATTCAAGTTTGTCAAATTTTCACTTAAAATACGGTAATGGTGTATTTACCATGAAACTGAAAATGTGGGTGATTCATTGGTGTGTATTTTCGATGATTTGATGTCATACGCAATGAGAAAAATGACCATAACACTTGCACACAACTTAATATTTCATTATTTCAATCAATTTTTGGTTTAATATATTATGATTTGGCATGTAAAAAGAAAAAAAAAATGACGAGAGATCCAAAAACAACTCGTATTTTGATAAAGGTTCAATGAACCCAGTACAGCTGACTTTCAGGTACATGCAGTTGTTTCACATCAAGAAACTGTTAAAATTGATAAAGTCGGCAATCAACTTATTTTTGTATAAATTTATATTTAATTTTGGGAATGATTGAAATGAAAAATAACCTAATCTCATAATATATGTAAGAATAATGTAATATCCTCATGGAGTAAATTTAAGTAACAACCGGTTGAAAAAATTTGCTGCACCATATAAAAAAGTGCACTAATAACCTTTGGACTAACACACAATAGTCTTGTAGGAAATACCAGCTTATTTTCACCCAGCAGCAGATTAATAGAATTCTTAGAGCGAAACGAAGTGGCAGAGGTTCTGACATAAAATTTCAAAAACACAAATAAGAAGTGCAGTTCGAGAAGGTGGCAGTTTGTGGTCAGCACTTTTCAAAGTGGGAACAAGACTATTGCCCACAGTTGCACGTGTTACACCTTAAGTGGTTTCGAATCTTGTAAAAGACGCAACTGGTGCACTTGGTTCACTCAGAATTGAAAAAAGTATTTGGTAAAGGCAATCAAACAAGTAGTTATTTGATCTAATCTCCTTATCTTCTTCTGACATTTTAATCTCAATATTTTGTTTGTTTTATTTTTGTTAAAGGCTTTTGTTCTTTAAGAACTGCCTCTATAAATTTATAGCAGCATTTTCTCCTCTGTAAACCTTGACTATTTTTGGATATTTATCATCATATTTACAAACAAATCTATATTCATGACTACAAATTTTAAGCTTTTGAGTTTCACATGTATAGATCATAGTTTTATCTTTGTGTTGTTCTTCACATGGTATAATAATACTCTCAAAATCTACATAAAAAACGAAAGTTGCAATCATCTTCTTATGATAACTCTTAAATTCAACAAAAATATTTGGTGGTGGTAAGTTAATAGCTGGTTTCCTATGAATATTACCACTATCCTCCTTCACTTCGGTTAATAGTTGTTAACATACTATAGCCTACCACAAGAAGTATGTTCGAAGTGGTGGACTAACAGTTTGCCAAACAACGAGTGCGAAAAAAAGAAGTCAGTCCTGGCTATCAACGAAACCAATTTCAATGCTCAACAAAATCTAAGGAATGTCAGGCTTCAAGCCTCCAGCTCCTATCGGTAACTAACTGCAGTTACCTTTCTAATGTGTGTTAATCTTCTGTAGCGCAAAACAACAAATCAAAAGATAACACCGCAGCATCTGACATCGAACATCAAAATCTGGAAGTAGCATAAAACAAGTACCTTGCTAAGGGAAAAAAACAGTCTCCTATTAACTAAGAATGACTAAAGCATGAGAAGTGAACCAATAAATGAATCAGCGAATAAAGGAAGGAATATGTAAGTCATTGGATAATTTGGTAGGAATTTACTGTTTCGGCTGCCTTACGTGGAGATTTGATAAGTCAGGTTTTGTGGCCCTATGCTCCTAAATGAGAAGTACTGAATAACTAACAATTTTCTGTACTGCAATGCAGTTATGTTTACCCAATGTAAGAATAGGCCATTTAGCATGAGAACTTGGCCCTGATTAGCAATTTTACATCCCTCATCATCGCAATTAAATTTTAAATCCAGAAATCAATCTCCGCGTCTCTTGCAACTGTTTGAAATTGCTATGGCTATAATGATTTCCACAGCGGTTCGTTTTGGCTATCACGCCCTCCATCAAAGGTTCATGCTTTTTGGTATTTAACGTGACATTCTCGAGAACGGCTGCGATACAGAGACTGGTGATGATTGGGTGAATGGGCTAAAAATAGACAAAATTGTGATTTTTCATAGGGTCTGAATAAGTATGGCCACTGCACTGGAATACACTGCAGAGCAATTAAACTACTACAGAATTTGCTATGTTGTCACCGACGTACTAACAGAGGGCTTGCGAATAATATTTAAACAAGAATGGGACAACCGCTACTGGAGAACATGGGGAGAATGGAAAGATCAACCTAACAATGGACTGGACTTTTGCAATGGTGAATCCCTTCGAAACAGAAGCCGAAACGCTCGTCTGCTGATAACCATGAAAAATGGTGACACAGCTGAATGGGATTGCACTATGCTGTTTTACGCCATTCTCAATTCAGACTGCATCAATGGCCTGAATCCGACTGTTCGATCACACGTAAATGACCTCAGGAAACTGCGTAATGAAGACTTTGCGCATATGCCACGAGGACACCTTTCGGAAAAAGATTTCCAAAGAGTGATTTTAAAAGTTAAAAATGCATTTCTTCTATTGGAATTTGCTTCGTATGGCCCATTAAGGCTTCAAAACCTTTTTTATCATACTGGATTGAAGATTACAGCGTTCAGGTATTAAGTTTGAGTGCAAATATATTTGTTGCCTTTTTTCGCCTTTACGTAAAATCCTACAGGCTTACCCTGGCCATTCCTCCTGTTTTTCGGAACAGCTTCATTAACGAATCGAAACGCAAGTTTCCCTGATGATTAGTCATTGTGTTCTTCGCATTATTCATCCGCTGAGGAGTGAATAATGTTCAATAATCAATAAAATAGCTAATTTTGTATCTACTGATTCAAGTCAATCACCTTTATTTTTTTTCTTAGTTGTTATGTTATTAGCAGTTTATAAACTAAATATTGCTGTTTTAAAGGGGGCCTTGTTTTGGCGTTGATCATTTCTATCCGGCTTGGGTTGAACAATGATCCAAAATGTCAAAGTTTCTTGTTTTCCTCCAGTTCTTCAAAATTCTAACAGCTTTTACTATTACTACTAGTGAACAATATCGCAGATCTGATGAAAAGAATAATGTTTATTTTGTCGAGCATTTGAATAGAATGCTAAACATTGATCAACTGGCGTCTTACAAAGTCTACGATTCAATGGCCTGTGGCCTTCACTGCATCCGACACGAACTTTGCATCTCTGTCAACTTTGCAGTTGAAGCGGCTCTAACGGGACACTCCTGTGCGCTGCTGAAAGCGGACAGATTTCGATATCCCAACAAACTTAACTGGAACAACTCTTGTCAGCACTACAGTTTAGCGGTAAGGAAAAAGTTTATTAACGCTAAAATAATACCTAAAAACTCATATCAGATATGTTTCAGATTAAAACCTCGAGGCGAATACTATTCAAACCGAAATTGAGGATTCCGTGGAATAAGCATACTCGCAAAGAACAAAAACAAATATTTTAAGATGAATGTGTTACTTATAAAAGAAAGAACTAATCTGGTTGAAAATGAATGCCTCCTCACATAAGATTATTTTGCAAAAACAAAGAAACGGCAAAAATTAAGAAAATATCAAGAGTTTAAAAAACGGTTTCAAATATACGCTTTAATGACTATTCTGGACAGGAAAAATATGTGTTGCTCATACATATCCATGGTTAACGCACAGCTGTAATTTTTTTGTTGTCGGGCGGCCTAGTTTTTTCTTTCATTGACTAGGAATACCGAGCTAACTTAGCTATCAGATTGAAAATATGAACCGACATGGTGCGTGCGCCTTCACGCGAAATAATTTAACTAGTGTTAAGTTCAACTGAGCGACAACTGATAAGTTCTTTTAAGTGCCTCCTGTTGCCATAGTGTCCTGACACTTAAACAGTAAAAAGAGGCAGATGGTGTTTGGTCAAGCCGTCACCTATTGAATTAATCGGTAGCGTAAATCGTTTCCTATACAAAAAGAAATTATTAAGGATGGAAATTGGTAAAAATCGCAGTGAAAACAACTTCTCAAAAAATGGAGACTGTATGAAAAGATGACCGTAATAAGAGCCTTTTGTGCAAAATTAATTTTAATTTTCCGACATTCGCTCCCTTCAAAGACATTAATAGCGGGATCTGGCTCCATGAATCAATTCCCCATAACACTGATTGGCAAAGTTAAATTGGGAAAGATGCACATTATGACAAGATTTGTTTCGAGTAATACCTTCAAAAAAAAGAAAGCAAAAGTGAAACAACTTCTCGCACAAACAATGTATGGCCTGCATGCAAAGAAGCAATGCCGATTTCATTTCTTCTTTGTTTATTTTCATTTCATATCTCTTTATCATCGATTGTATAATTTTCTTCTCTTTTCCCGGTGAACCTACAAAAAAACCCTTCTATCGAGGTCTTCAAATAAAGTATTTTACTTATCGAACTACTTCAATCATGCTAGTTCAATTTCTTGTGGAATAATCACGGCAGCCGATCAGAACAAAGGGCGATTTTACGGAAAGTCTCATCATTTACTTAACAACTATTCACGGAAGTATAGGTGGCTAATGAGAGATATTTACATAGGCGCACGACGGCGAAGTAAATATCCACTCTCACCACCAATACCGAGATGTAATAGTATTAGTATATACTAAAACAGAGAGATAATATAGCACAAAAATATGATTTCAGAAGTGATTAGCAAAGGATAATCGGAATTTAAGTAGCCAATCAGAGCGCGCCTTCAACGCTATCCAGTGTTTCAATATATAATAAATAGAGAATAATACATGGGCGCGCATAGTGAAGAGAAATTCTATATGTTCAAGCAACCATGTATTAATTAGTTTTGCATAGGCCATAAAGATAAAAACTCAATGGGAGACTTTTTGGTGGCTTCTGAAATCAGTCAGTTGAATATATCTTGTCAGTTTTAATAAATCTCTGAAAACCGATGTTTGTTACAAATTCCTTTCCATCCATCGCAAAAAAGGAGACAAACAGATGCCAGCTAAGCGATTCTGACCGGTTTACTGGTCATGTAAATTTTTCAACAGAAGATGGAGCATTATATAAAGGAATAAAGGTTATGACACAACTCGATTTTAATGATATGGGACTCTCGGGCGGGGAGCCTATAGAAATGCATGTTTTAGTTGACTCAATGTCAACCACCGTACGGCTCATTACTCAAGATTTGATTTTAAAATAGATTGCAGCCTTTTTTCTTAAACGGAGAGTACACTTCTCACCCAGTTGTCAGGTGCTCAAATATTCATTTGGTAAATAGCTTTTTAGAAGTTGAAGCATTTAAGACCAAATCACTTTCGAAAGGATATTCGTTTATTTCTATTTTTTCCATAATTTTAGAGCCCCTGCATGGAGGATGATCCGTGCAAAGAGAATGAAAGGTGTCTTGTTGACTACAAATCAAACACTCAGTTCTGTAAGTGTATAGAAGGTAACTGGAGACCCGGTGGTCCTTCGTATCTCGATACTCAAACTTTTGCAGACTTAAAGATTAGTGTCCTCTTTAACAGATTGAACAAAATGTGTACAATAAAACAATTATTATTTAATTCGGTTTTTGCGTGATATCATGAGTTATCAAACCTAGAGTCTGCGTTATCTGCCTCAGCCTTCGATCACGGCATTGATAATTCATAACACCGTGCTCAACCTATTCCAATAACGGCTTATTGTTATCTGACTTCGAATATGGGACAGCAATGGTGTGCATATGCGAGTTACTTAAGTCGTCGGAATGGTATACAATCTGGATAATATATTCATATTTTGAAGAATTGCTAGAAACTTTGAGGCCACTTTATTACAAATGATAATTTGATATTGTCAAGGAGCCATATCCTCAGCGATATTATCATAGAAGTTTTTAATTTCTAATTCCATGATGCCTCGCTCATCATATAATCGCCTTCGAGTTAATTTTACCGAAGAAGATGGAGCACTGTTTAAAGGAATACAGGTTATAATACTGGTTAGTGTTAGTATTAGAGAGCTATGAGGCGTTGAATTGAATTTAATGGAGTGGGAAGGCTGGAGAGTGAAAATATTTAACTCGGGGTCATAATGTAAAGACTAAGTGCCACGAGCTCCTTGAGTCTTCGCCACGAGCCGAATATATTCCAGTATGGCCCTGTCACTCAATAAGCACTTTAACACATGACCACTACTTCTCGAAACTTTGGAAAATTTTGTTTCAGCTTAAATTGGACCCGAAAGACAAGTGCACGCGATACAACCACAAGAAAGATCCTACTTTAAAAATATTCTCTTTTTTTTTTTTTTTTTTGAGTCAGAACAAGAAAATCAGAATTCATCGAAAAATGGGTCTTATTTTCTCACTTCTTTATTTCCACCGAGTACAAGTCCACAGTTAGAAGCTTTCTTTGTGATTGCGCACGGGGTGTCAGGCGAGTCATATACGTTATATGTATTCCTACTTCTGAGCGTGCAGGCCTAAAGGTTATGACGACATTAATTTTTATTTTCATTACAGACAATAACGTTGATACTCTCAGCGAGTTATATCCTCAGATGTTTAATTCATAGATTACCCCAACAACACTATTTTTGGGGCAATCACTATTTGGGGCAAACACTATTTTTGGGGCTTTTTTTAAGATTGGCGAACATCACGACACATCGTATAAATACTGAAATTTAATTTTTGTCACTTTTTACGTCCTTTTCTCGGCTATTATGGTAGAATTATGCTAATTCAGCTTGTTTTGTCACCAATTTCGATTACCTGCCTCTTTTATTTATCTTTCGTGTTAGCTGCCACACAAATGTGACAAGCTGTTTTGTTGTCCCGCTAAAGAAAAAAAAACACATCAGCTTTCCGAATGAAAATGCTCTGAGTGGCTTGAAGAATGCTTTTTTGTCCATTTTCAATAAATGTTTTCATCAGAAGCCAAGAAAATATCCAAATAATCGTGACGATGCAAATGATAATTGCTATTTTGAAGGACGTAAAAGATGGATATCGCATATTGGGAAGTTAGTGATATATATAATTTGCATGTAAATTAAGTCACAAGAATAGTAACTCTGCTTTTAGTTTCGACGGAGCTTATTAATTATGAATAGGAATCCTTGAAATTGCTTAAAAGTTAAGCGCCACCAGTTTGAAAATTCAGCCAAATCAAATTTGAGTCGAAGGCAAGATAAAAATGAAGCAACTAAACATGTACCTATTGACCTTTTCGATGTTTTCACTTACGGCTATCGCACAAGGTTCAAATCGGTTGTCGGAGCCCGATTTTAAGGCTGCTAATTTCGCAAAGGCGATAGAAGATCGAAAACTCAACGGGAGTGTCCTCAGAGACTTTGAGGTCGCGTCTGAGATCTCTTGTCAGTTTGAATGTATCTCTGAAGAGCGATGTTTATCTTACAACTTCCTTCCCATCCATGGCAAAGAGATAAGTATATGCCAACTAAGTGACTCGGACCGCTTTATCAGTGGCGTGAATTTTACGAAAGAGGATGGAGCTATTTACAGAGGAATACAGGTGACAATACTGAATTATTTAATGGAGTCTGCCCTTCAGATGGGAATTTGTGAAAAATAGTTGTTTTGATGAACTTGAATGTCATCTGGCTCGTTTTAAGTGTATTTCCTTCGGTGTAAATGTACTGCTGAGTGTTTAGGAATTCCATACGTGTACTGTCTCTATCTACCTTAATGAATTACCAGTTGATAATGAATGATTGTTTTACCTCTCTGTCGACACATTACAGCTATTTACGTAAAAACCAACTATGATCTGCCAAAGTTATTGGTGCCTTAAAGTACCTGTCAAAAAAGGCAGGGTTTCTTGTCAGAAAAGATAATGCTACACTATAGTGATCTTTCGAGGACAAACTTTACTGTGAAATGAAATCATATAATCTAAATTATATGGAGACTTTCGTTTGACAAAGTGAAAAATTAATTAATAACAAAAAGCTGAAATATAGATAAACCGTAGCAGACACTCAAATGACTGTAAAGGGAATACAATCGAGTCTTCATTTTCACCTTTGTGAGATTAGTTTGTTCTTAGACTTTGCAAAAATAAAACTGTCCCAGCTTTTTCTCTTCAAAGATATAAGATCGACAAAAGGCAGGAAGTTCTTAGCCCACTTAACGAAAAAGTCCTCCCTCAACTTTAAAGTATGAATACATATGTAAGGCAATTTTATTTCCTTACTTTTAGAGCACCTGCGAACAAGATATTCCGTGCACGGAGAATGAAATATGTGTGGTTGACTACAGATCAAACACTCACTTTTGTAAGTGTAGCAGAGGTAAGGATAGACGTGGTTAGATCTTCGTAGTTTAACAGCTATGGATTTACACAGTTGGGGATGGATTTTCTCTAACAGAGTAAACGGTGAACGGTTTAATTGAGACGCTTTTAAGTGCCGAGGTGCAGATTCAACTAGGAAATAAGAATTCGAATATAACAAACAGTTGGATGGCGAGGGAGAACATCAACTCACGTCCACTCTGTTGGAGAGAGAGAGGAAATCCCCTAAACTAATATGCAATAATAATATTCCGCATGAAGTAAGAAATTTTGTGGTCAGTTATGACGGAAACAAATAGGGTTGAGACAGGACATTTTCATTTCACGCTTTGCAGGATGCTATAACACCAATATATGATTTGGAAAAAAAACACTTCAGGTGACTGATATATCGGCTGGTAATGTCCGCGGCCAAGATGTTTAGCACGCTGGAACATGCCGGGACATGCCGGAAAAATGTGGGAACATGCCTGAAAACGAGGAATATCCTAGAAAATACCAGAACACCGGAACATGCCGGAACACCGCGGAAAAACTAATAAAAAAACTTTAAGATTCGATGAAAAAATATAGTTCATGGTCACCCGGTGTTCCAGGTCTTAACACGTGCCGAGATATTTGTCAGAAAAATGAATAATTGGTAGGAAAGCAAAACTTTGAGGACACTGTCTCAGTCAAGGACGTTATCAGCCTACAGACCAGCAAGCCAGATGGGTTTTATTATTAATTTTAGAACCCTTCCATTACTTGTCGTAAAGCAAGTTGAAAGCAAATTTTGTCGACTTCTTTGTACTTTTGGAGCAGAATTTCAGATCAGCTTTTTAGTGTCACTATTACTGGACTCAACAAAACGAGTTCTTTTTCTTCCATGTAAAGTGATAAAGATGAAAAAGTGAAATTCTTGACATAAGTTTTTCCGCTGGCTTTGTTTCTTTCCGATGGAAATAATTGGGGGACCAATGCAGACGTAGACGGGGGTTATTGTGTGATAACTGTCCGGTGAGTTTACAACACATGACTAACTATGAAGTAGCTAATTTAATTGCGCAGAAAATGGAAAGGTGGGTTATAGAAGTCGGTAACTTTATACTCTCAAAGGATTACACCTTTGGGTTTCTATTCCAAAGATTGTCCAAGGAACTGTCTTGACCATTATCAAAATGGCTCCACTTCCGACGGAGTGTATTTGATTTACCCTGATGAAGAACAACCCTTCCAAGTACTGTGTGACATGACAACTAATGGTGGAGGCTGGACCACCTTTCAAAGGCGCATGGATGGCTCTGTAGACTTTTATGTCGACTGGGAATCTTTCAAAAAAGGCTTTGGAAATCTGGAGGGCGAGTTTTGACTTGGGAATGACTACCTTCACCGTCTCACTGCATCTGCCAACATGGTGTTTCGAATTGATATGGAGGATTACGAAGGCGACCGAAGATTTGCCGAGTACACGACTTTCTTTGTGGCCGACGAAAGCAATGATTACCGGGTAATGATCGATACATACCCTATCAGGTTTGTTTCAGGCATTTCAGTTTTTCGTATAATGCTTAGCGAATAGTAATATAAAGCTAACCCTGAGAGCTCTGCGCAAGAACCGAGAAAAATATTCATTACCCGCTGAAGATGAAGATCTCTACACTTATTCAAGTTAAACATCTCTTTCTTAGAATGTACTGCTACAGGCAACATTGCTGATCAAAAGATCCAACTTATATCTGACGCATATTGCTGACAATTATAGCTCCTTTTGAATTGGTGCTAGTACATTCCTCTACGCTACATTATTAACCATAAAATGCATTTTGTTGATTCCTAACGTTAACATTTGTCTTTCACTTGCCTGATGGGGGAATGTTCTTTTTCTACACTTGCTGACAATGCAGCCTTATTGCTGAACATACAATGTTATCAGTAGCATTGTTGTTCAGCTCTTCCACAGTTTCTTACAAAATTCTTTTTTCATATCAGAAATATGAAGTTTACAACCAAGGACAGAGACAACGACGTCGATAACAGTAAGAATTGTGCCTTGCACTATAAAGGCGCCTGGTGGTACAACTACTGCCATAACGCAAATCCAAATGGTTTGTACCAAGGTGGAGGTAACGCACAAGGAATTACATGGGAACCATTTCGGGGACAAGATTATTCGTTAAAGCACATCGAGATCAAACTTCGACCAGCATGATTTGTATCTTAGAAGTTGCGTGTTGAAGCCTTCAGCAGACTATAATGAAAATACAGTGTAATAACAACAACAATGATAATGATGATAAGAATTACTATAGTAATTGTAATAATCCTAATAATTATAACAATTATAATAATTATAATAATTCTAAAAAATTCATTATAATGAAAATGCACATCAAGATGTTCCATTGCAAATAAATAGAAGGTCTGAAAAGTAGAAAAAATATGAGAAAACGAAGACTTCATATTGATGACGAAATCATAATTAAAAGTGAATTTATTAAAACAGCTTTGGTCCTAAACAGGATCTGCTTCTGAGGTGAACGTATCTTTTTATTATCTTTATTATTATTATTATTATTATTATTAATATTTCTTTTTAAATAAAGCGCACACATGATTCTTTCACAACTGCGATAGAAAAAATTACGTAAATAATCCTCATGTTTTAATCAAGATTAATCTTAAGATTCGTGAATAACATAATCAACTGATATGTAGCTTTTATTGCAAAACTTTTTTATAAACTTTGCATGGTTTGGTAAGGTCACAAATACTAGCTGCATAAACTGAAAGGCCAAGAAACATTTTTGAAAGCACAATCGCACGAAAAGATTACCTATTAACTTTAAGGGGACTCTTCTTTGCGCAAGCTTTTGACTATAATCAAAATATTTTGGCCTTATAGAACTTCACCTTGACATGCAAACTAAACTTGCAATTAATTTCTATCGTAACTCCTTATAAACGGAGGCTGCCATACTGCTTGATATTATATTATATGAAGAAAGGTGCTAGTACTTGATTTACCTCAATTTCTTATGTAGGAATAGGGATCAATTCCCTGCAGTTACTGTTGTTGCAGAGCAAGTCGTTTGCATCACTTCAGTCCAATATAGACAAAGAAATGTCATACATATCTGGTGAAAATCTTCACCTATCAAGAGATAGAGATATCTTCCATGTGATTAATAAGTGTGTAATAGTTATAATAAAGCTTCTAGGTTAATAACATTTCACTTATACTTTTCCCATCAAACCCTTGCTGTTATTTCGTAGAATTATATTGATCTAGCTTGTTTTGTTGCCAATTTCTGGCAGTTGTTTTGTCTCATTTATTGTCCGTGCAAGTTCCAGCATTTTGCTGCTCTAAGGTTTATTGTCATTAAACACGACTAGCGGAGGGCTGTAATATCTGATCAAATCGTTGGATTGGACGTGTCTACGGACAGTTTCATCTTAATTTTATGACACAAACTGTTCTGTTTGCTTGCTTCTGAGAAAAGTTTAAGAGCTAATGTCAGTATGCATTAAACAAACAGCGGCAAGTCGCTCAGATTAATTTTCTCTCCTACTTTCATATTTTGTAGCCCAATATGTTCTAATAATTGTGGTGTAGTTTTTTTGTAAAAATTTATTTTAGTTTTCGAGAAATAATTTTTTTCGTTCGACGCTCAAATATGCAAATTGTCACCGTGGATATTACCCGAGTTGTGTGACCTCATACAACGAATGTACTAGACCTAAGGTAATTTTGTTAACACAACCCGTTGTTTTATCATCTAAACTTAATCCCCTGTTGTTATCGAAGCTGGCAAAGAAATATTTATTTTTTGGTGAATATTTTTGTCCGACATACTTTTCCTACGTCGAAAAGTAGCATCAAAACAAAGACAGTTTTAACAATGACCGATATGACACAATCAACTGAGCTTCAAGCTTTTATAAGGAAACCCAAAACCTGAGCTCTGAGCAAAAAGTATTACCCAGGCGTAATATAATAATCGAAACGGCTTATAAAATCATAAATAAACAAGGTTAGAGTGTTACGTGTAGTGTAGTGGTTTATGCCAATCAACGGTGGCTACAAGTAGGCGCACCATGTACATTTCATAGTCGCTATAAAGATAAAAAGTAAATTTTGCCGGACTTTGAGTTCGTCTCAAGATAGAACAACACAAATACACAAGGAAATTTTTACAGTAACTTTATAACCATCCTTTGGTCTTTTCAAAGCTTGAAGCTCAGTTGATTGTGTCATATCGGTCATTGTTAAAACTGTCTTTATTTTGATGCTACTTTTCGACATAGGAAAAGTATGTCAGACAAAAATATTCACCAAAAAATAAATATTTCTTTGCCAGCTTCAATAACGACAGGGGAATAAGTTTAGATGATAAAACAAAGGATTGTGTTCACAGAAATACCATAGGTCTAGTACATTCGTTACATGAGGTCACACAACTCGAGTAATATTCACGATAAAAATTTGCATATTTGAGTGGTCGAACGAAAAAGTAATTTCTCGAAAACTAAAATATATATTTTCACAAAAAAAACTACACCACAATTATTAGAACGTATTGGGCTACAAAATATGAAAGTAGGAGACAAAACGAATTTTGGGCGACTTGCCACAATATTTCAAATCTGTTCGATGGATGCTGACATCCTCTCTTAATAGCTCTCCGTTTAAATCTTACTGATTGGCGGGTGAAACTGTTTGTTCGCCCACAGTAATTGTTTGATCGAAAGTCAAGAAAACATCCAGACAATACTGACTTTACACCTACTGATTGATGGTTTTAAGATCGGTCGCGTGATAATTCAACGGCGTACTCTGTTTTCATTCTGGTACTTTCCTTGTACCTGTTAGTCTAGTCTGGCAAAAAAAAAATTAAACATTCAATCACTTTTCCTCATCATAAACTTTCTGAAGGTCAAGAAAAACATGCATCTTTGCATAACATTTCTTTTTTTTTTTTTTTTTACGGCATAAGCCGTATTTCAGAAGCAGACCTGGGAGCTGTTAACCTCACTTAAAAGGTAGCAGGGCAAAAACTGAAGGGAAGAATAATAAAAAAAATAGAAGTGGATTCGGAAAGTTCCTCCTAGTCTGAGTGTGTGGATGGAGAGCGATGTCAATCTTACAACTTTGGAACCGTTAATGGCTACCAAGAAATATTCAAATGCAAGCTATGCGACTCTGATCGATTTGTTGGATTTGCTAACATAACACAGAGGAATGATGGTAATCCAAATCTGTCTTAGTGCATCAAAAGTTACTTGTGGCTCAAAGTTTAAATCTTATCATCTAAAATTGTAGCTGGATCTCTTAAAATGTTTTCTAACTGTGATAGATCAACCTTACTCTACCTAACATAAAATTATGTCGGTAAAGTTAATAAGAATCTAAGGATTGTGCGACAATCTGGAGAGAAAGTTGCTGATGTTTGCCATAGGGAAAAAAGCCCGGAAGAGCCCTAAATAACAACAACAATAACAACTACAAAACAGGTAGGCCACAAGAAAGAAAAAATTTAAAACCACTTTAAGGACATAATTTTTGCAATGAAAAGTTAGTAATCAGGAAAATAAACCATGCTACATTTATGACATATCCTGATTTAAAAATTCCGGCGTTACCCTATTCGTACATCAGTCCATGTATAGTTTTGAATGAGAATTTAAGTTCCTGCATATAGCATAGATAATGTAATTGAAATTAAGATATATGGCGGTTGTATTTTCCCCCATAATTTCAATTACTAAGTGAATTAGTATTTCAGGGTATTGTCAAAGTCAAGCAGCATTTTCACCAAACAAAATGTTTTATCTGCATAAATTCGACTTTATGAACTTGTTTTCATAACAATTTTTTTTCTTTTAAGACGAAAAAGGCAAAATCGTTGGAAAACGTACAACGAGTGTCGCTGGCACTGCTCGCTACAATGCTTCCCGAGAGGCCTTGGAATGGTGTAATGGTAAAGTTTGGCTATCAGTGGTGATTGGTTTGGTCGCTTCTGAAGTCACAGTATCCGTATTTTAAAATCAGGTGAGTTTGAGATAAAGCGAATAAATACCTTGATTAAAAATGATAATAATCGTAAAATGATAATGTGACCTTGAAAAGAAAAAAATAGAAGCGCTGGCTTTTCCCTTCATCGCGACATCATTTTATTTCGGTCAAATTTTAATGTAATATCAGGTAGCTTGTAAATGTTTCTTTTCAAGTTAGAATTGGAATCTCGACTCCCGAGATAATACACGCGCATGCTCTAAACACCAAAAAAATAGAGGATCTTTTCTTTCTTCATTTTCTTCCTATTCCTTGGAGCGTTGTTATATCGAAGCGGTCAACAGCGTTCGCGGGTCTTGATTAGTTTACTGAGGATTAGGGTCTAACTTGTCTTTTATTCAAAAACGATCTTGATCACACGGGGTCTTATCCTGAACTGAATCGCTAACTATAATTTTCTCTCTGAAAAGAATTATTCACAGAGGCGACAACCTAGCCAGGAAATATTTTGCGGCTTCTCTTGGAAATGGTAACATTTTGCTTTAGCGGAAGCGGTTACATCACTCTTCATGCATTCAGATAAAAGACGTGGTGGCTGACTTTACTGGATCGATCCAAACGGTGGTTCAACATCGAGTTTCATGTTTTTTCTTTTTTTCGTTCTGGTGTAGTGTACAGTACATTTCGAGTGGGTGATCAATTCCAGTAAGAAATGCAATCAAACCACGGTAAAATAAAGAAATGATCAAAAAGTTCTTGTCTAAAAAAAAAAATAAAATAAAATAAAATTAACAGATGAAATAACATTTCCCTTCGATCACAAATTGTTTGAAAAAAAATCTAAATGTATAAGACGATAACTTTACCATACGTTTTCTGCTGATAGCCGAATAAATGTTGATGAGCCAACAACAGCGTTAGCTTTCAAACAGTACATAAATATATGTTATTCGCCGACTGGGAGGTCCGTATGGTGAAAAACTGTGACTGAGGTCACACTTTTTCACCATACGGACCGACCCTTAGCCGATTAATGAACCTCTGTTCATTAAGGAAACGGCGAGGAAAGTAATTGCGAGTAAATTCAAATTTTTTAATTTGAAGTTGTGAGAGTTTGCGCGTTTGTTTGCTGCAATGGCGTGTGTAAATCTGGTCTTTCGTCCACAAAAACTAAATTCGGATGGCACACTCCAACGAGACACAAGGGGATTTAATGCAGCCTTTTCTCAATAAACTCCCTTAGTTTCTGTTGTGGAATTTACGGTACAAATGTCCAAATTGAACGGACTTGGAAGAGTCACCGGGAGCGTATATTTGTTTTAGAACTGAAATTAAAACTTCTCTCGCTCTTTCACTACGAACAAATTGCTTGAGAAAATTCAGATATTAAATGAATGAAAGTTCCATCGTTCAGTTAACTGTAACCAAATAACTCACGTTTTAATTTTCTAGGTATTTTTTGTGAACGATTAAAATTAATTGCAGACGGTTTATAGGCCGCTTGTCAACCAACGTAATGACTGTATTGCTTACACAAATTCATACTGAAGCCAACATATATTTAGTCAACCAACGTAATGACGCTATTGCTTACACAAATTCATACTGAAACCAATATATTTTTAGTCAACCAAAGCGATTTGAGAGTGAGAAAAGAGAGGATTCATAAGTTATTTATCGGCTTGAGGTAGTGGCCGACGTGTTTGCTTAAAAATACCGCCCAGCAGGAAAAACGAGATATATTTATGAAAAATGGTAATGAAAGTTGGGATGTACTCTGCGACTCAGAAAAGCGTTACCGTGGCCCGTGGGCAGAGATATAAAAATACTGACGGGGTAGAGAACCAATCAGATTGCAGGATTTGTTACCGTGCCCTCTAAAAAAAAAATAAATGAAATTACTCACCCCTGAAAAAGGTAAGAAGTCGAAAAGAAGTTTTTTTTTTTTTTTTTGTCAGATGCTTTTCTCTTGAAGTAATAACATTGATACGAGGCCTAAAACGTTAAATTTTCACAACGTTTACCGTTGGTACCCGAATAAATCTTGGTGCACCAACAAAACGTCACAATTTAAATGTAAGTTATACACAAATGCCTAAGAATATCACATGAGAAATTATTATCATCTCCTCAGCTCTGTGTTAGTAAAGCTAGAGTTAGTAGGAAAAAAATACGTTCAACTTGAGCAGCAGTAAAATTTT